TGGGTCGTTTTATGCAGGTCGTGAGTAAAATTAATCTTTGACTGTATCTGGGTTGCAGTCCGTTGGAGCATACGCCGACATGGCAAACAAGTTTCGCTTATCGGGAAGACGGTAACTCAGTTTGCACGAACCTCTGAGTCTCACTATTATATATATATATATATATATATATATATATATATTGGGGGGGGGCAAACGTGAAATAGGGGGAGGCTGGGGAAAAACAAAGGTGTGTCCGCTGAAGAATATTTTTCGCTTGACCGGGCAGCAAGCGTAGTACTTGATGATATTTATATTCCGAGTCCGAATCCCACAACTTAGGTTGCATAATTCTATGATTGAACAATGGATCGGTGAATGGGATCTACCCTGATCGATATTTAGGTGTAACGAAAAATGATTTATGCTTCAGGACAAAAACTAACCCAATTTTTCTGGTTACTCGATATGTAGCTGGTTAAGGACAATAATAAAGGAAATGGCTTTCAATATGGTTACTCTGCAGGAGAGGGGAGAACTTGCGATATTTGATGGTCAGGAAGATTATTCAATCTAAGCATTTCAAAATAAATTTGAAGCCATAACATCGTACTGACCTGTGAAACCTAACTATAGGTGTCAGTAACTACAAAGAACGGCTTTGATTTTAAATAATAAATCATTGGTTTACAGAGGGAAAATATCTTACTACAAGGTAACTGTGGGTTATACCGGCATGTTTTTGGGTAATATTGCGCCAAATTTTCAGCACTGACAACCATGTATGTGTGTAGCCGTTCAAGATTTACTGTGTCACTTATCATCATGAAAACAATAAAGTCTTTCAAAAGAAAATGCAATCATAATAAGGTGGTGCAAAGAAGCAATACTATCAGAACTGCTTACTTAATGGCATTAATGTGAATCAGTATATACTTTATGTGAAGCAATAACTGCACTACTTCGACCTTGGTCTTATGAGGTTAAGGGCGAGGGAATCGTTGAATCGCAGAGGAAAATTATGGTTGCAGTGGAATATACTCATGTTTCAAGGAGCAAAAGTTTGATTTTCACTTCCGAAGGTTGATTTAACCCTTTTGAAACATCTACGACCGCTGACGAATAACGGAGGATTCACAACTAACAGGTATGGTAGATTTGACTCCTTTTATGCAAGAAGTAAAGTGTTTTGGATAGTGCTGTTATAAGGTCTGACACTATGCTAAACAGTCTCGGGGAGGAGGGGGCAATATTGAAAAACAAGAATTCACAGTCGTTGATTTGACTGTAAAATGAAGGTGACCTGTAAGCGGAACCCTCGAATATGGATTGGTGAATCTTAAGGCAATCTTTTTGAACTTTAAAGATAGCAGCATTCTTTATTTTTTATTGAGGAAAAAATTAGCATCTATTATTCGTGAATAATAGTTCATATCTCTCAATTTGTAATGTACAGTCAAGTTTTTCAAGTCACGAATCGTTTTATTCATCTTTATGGATAGTCACCGCGCTAAAACCGGGTCTGTTTATGTAGTTTACAACGTTTCTCAGTGATCAGATAAGGAATTGCAAACTTAAAGTTGCTAAAAGCAAAATGACAAAAAGTGGGATTCATAAAGATAATTCAGCTAACATTGAAAATAATTCTCAACCCGCAATTTGTATTACTTGATGGTAATTTTATGAGGGAGATATCACCAAAATTTAAAAACAAAATAATATGCTGCGATACGTGTTTTTTGTTTCGTATGCTTGTCGGAACCAAAACCGGTATAGTCGTACTGAGCCAGAAAGAAAAAATGGGGCTGGAAAACTCACTCCGGATACAAACACTCGACCGGACTCCGACGGAGACAGTGATAAACTGAGCACATCGCCGGAGTGTCCGTGGAAGCTCTGGATAATCTGAGCAGATTCAATATCCCACAAAACACATGTACTGTCACCGCTTCCGGTAAGCAGCTGGTGATCGGAAAAGTTGAACAAACAACAAGCTAAGTACGATGTGTGCGTAGCGACCAGCTTTTTGCGTCGCACTGGATCCTCATCGGCAATTAACGGGAAGACAGTACACTTATTGTCTAAACCACTGAGCGATAATATCGATTACCGGTAGAGAGCGAAAAGACTCACCCACACGCCACAAAGCCCCCGGATGGACTGTAAGCGCAAGACATGACCCATGTTGTGGGCATTGAGACAGAGTGCTCCTAAACAAATGGTTTATAGGTTTTAAAAATGTGTTTACGGAGAAACCTTTGTGCTAGTGAAACCATCCCATACAAGAATTTTTCCATCCTGAAAAGAAATTACACTCTCATATAGATAACTATACTTGTGAGGAGCTGACGATATGCCTCTTGTCAGTAGCCCAGGCCAAACACAAGACTTTTCCCTGATGTCCCTTTAATACTCGACGAACGCGAATATTAACGGTCGGAATGGGGTCAAGATTCTGACTGGCCACAACAACTGTGAAGAAAAACGAATATGGTAAAGATAATTCTGAACAAGTGGACATGAAGAAACTTACGATTCCCATCATTCAGTCGATTACGTTCGTCCTCTAACTTTCTGCGTAGTGAATCAGCTTCCTGGATCAATTGAGTCTCATCTTGTGGAGATTCCATTAATGTGGCATACGCACCAGGGATGAAAATAATCTACCGATTATTCTGAGTACACCTGGAATAATTAAAAAAGTAGTGTTTATCAGCCGAAAGACAATATCATTAACTTTTAAGAAAAGTAGGGAGGAAACAGACGATATCGTTTGAAGAGAGGAATTCGAAAGTTCCCCAGAATACCTTTTATATTCCGAAGGTTGCCATAGTTTCTTTCTGGGTTCACAATATAGTCTCGGGATAGGTTTCCTACGGTGC